AACTTTTATGTATTTCTGTGGGATGGTATTTTTACAATATGACACGCAGGGTAGAATATTACATGTCTGATCAAATCTTATTCTATCAAAAAGTATATTAATTCCTGATCTGAAGAGCCCTATATACCAGACTCACGATGGAGTTCAAATTCCAAATCATGTATCTCTAATAAGACAAAAAACAAAAACTCTTAGATCTGAGTTAAAACCTTTAGGGCTGCATATTATAAATCCTTTCATATTGTTATGTATTTCTTAATCTTTTTAATTCTTCAGTAAACTCATTTGATCTACAGTTCAGTGCTCATTCCAGCATTGGGTATAATCCTCTCCATCGTTCAGACTGTTGGCAAGCTCATCACACAGTCCTTCATCTTTCAAATTACCCCTCTGAGAAAGAAATTATCCCATCTTAAACACAGCATCATACATTTTGTAAACAGAATGAATGCACAATATTCAAAGTTAGCATATATGGCCTGTCCTTCTTTAAGCAACTAGACAATTTCTGTTTCCTTCCCTGAAGTTTGGATCTTGTTTTTCTTTCTTTCCTCTACTGTATTTCTTCGTATAGCATCTTTTATTTAGGATTCCAGTAATTTACCTTTGTTTTATCAAACTCTACATTGGTAACCAATTACAAAAATACTAACAACTACAGCGGTTCTAAACAGGTTCCCATTTTCCCTGCTGGTTACTCACAGGAGGTCCTGGTGGGCCTGGTTTACCAGCAAGTCCTGGTTTGCCTCGTCTTCCCTGGAAATAAAACAAGAACACAAACATTCATAAACATTACAGCTGAGGATTGATTTAGAATAAAGCAATTTGTTTAAAAGAAAGATTGATTGCAGTATTTATTAACAAAAAGATCAAAACCTATTTAAATTGGAAATACTTTGTACCATTTAGTGCAGCATCAATTAATTCTAACAGCTTTAAGACAGTTCTAAATAATTATGGCAAACAAAATATTTGCATCACCAATTATTTATTAGTGCATTTTTTATCCATCTCAAGATTGAGAATATATTGATAAGGCAGTAATATGCTACAAATCCAGCAACTTAATGATGTCCAAATAAATTACATTTTATCTGATGATGGTTCTAAGCTCTGGGAGGTAAAACTGTAATACAGTTGTCACTTTAAGCTGCATAATAATTATATAGGCTGAATGTGGCTCATTTAACATATGTCCAGCACTCTATTTCTCCAGGCTCATTTTCAGTTGTGTCACTAGTGAGCTGAAATATGTGTTTCTTACCTATTGATCTCTATTACCCAAGTCATCTGTCACCTACTCAAATTCACAACCAGCTAAACCTCGATACCAAGAGCTAAGCAATTATATGAGTATGCAAGACCAGAACAGTGGACTAAAATCTTCCAGTGGTTAAATGTCACTACTAATATCACTTCAAATGTATGTATTTAAGATATGCTCTCAAATTGTTAAGTTAACGTGAAATAGAAACCTGATATACATGAACATTTTTGTAGCATTAAAACAGACTGATCAAAAGTATGAAGTCTGATTTCTTGTTTTTTCTTCCCACGGTTCTAATACAAGAACGGAATGTTGTGCTAGAAAATGAAATAATGACAGTGACCCATTATGCTGTATCTTACTTTAGTGTGTCACTTGCTATGCTTTCAATGTGAATATTAAACTTGGTCAGCCTGAGGTTTATGCTACAAACATGGAATGATAGTACTGAAGATTTTGTTTTATTGGACACACATTCAAAGGGTTTAGTTGTGTTTCATGTGTTTAGCTATGTGCTGCTTCAAAAGGAGTAAGGAAGCATAGGAGAAATGTAGAGAATAACTTGACCTATGACAGCTGTTTTTTAAAGTGGGATTGCCTTGCTGAATTTGCTGATGTTTTATGCACTTAGGTGGGTTGTAGGGTAAGGAGGAAAGCCATAACGAGATATATCATACAAATATACACACTGTTGCTTGAGTTAGTATCATACTATGTATGAAACAGGTGTTTTACCATGTACATGGAGAGTATCCATTCATACAATATGCAACTAGGGCATGTTCCAATATCCATTGAAGTCAAAAGGAGTGTTTCTATTTACTTCAAAGACCCAGGATAGGCCCTGGGTGAACAACTGCATTAATTTGATTCACTGGAAGTAACTTGCAGGTTTAAATCTTGATTGTGAAAAGTAAATTTGGAACAAATTATTGGAAACAAGTTGCAATGGCAAATAATACACAATTGTGTCTATACAAATCACACTTGCCCATGAATACACGCTGATTATATAAGCAAATGGTACAAATTTCTTATTTATTCATGGGCCCAATTTATTTGCAAGTACTCACTTGAACCAAGAAATGAACTGACTTATATATGTCTTTGGCTGTGGTTATACACATGCTTGTTTCACATCAGGAGCAATTTAGGAATATGTCTTGAAACCTTCACAAAAAGTTCACAATGAAAATACCTATGACCAAACTGGGGTGTTGGTGTTACCATCCGGTTGCCCTTTACCCCCCAAAACTCTCTCTACTATTCTGCTGTTTCACCAATGAAAAAAAGCTGAGATTAGAACCAGGACCAATTTATTGGTTCAGTAAACCTCAGCTCCACCTGTCTCAATCCAGGCCTTCTCAGCTCCAGCAGAGGAGATCTGCCAGCTCAAGTGTCATACACTAACCAGTTATTATAGGTCCTCGGCCTTTGCTCAGTCTGTATTTGTCAGCTGCTCTGAAATCACACTTAGAACAGGCAATCAGTAAGGAATAAGAAATAAGGAAAAAAGTATTACACAATCAAGGAAAATCTCTCAGAAACAGTTACCATATGTTGTAACAGACAAAGATATGAGAAAGTTTTTCTCAGCCAGAATGGCGGACCTCCTGGACAGAGCTTTAAACTGAGATTGTCAGGGGATGGGCCATCAACCACCAACATGAGCACAAGAAATGGCAACCTCGAAACCCAGGGTACAATAGGAAGCCATCTCCAACACCAGGCAACAGACATGTTATTCCAACACTTACCAGAAAGCCTAGGGTCTCTACTGGAAAGCTTAGTTGCCTGTATACTAATGCCAGAAGCATGGAAAACAAGTATGAGGAGCTACTGGCCCTCATACTAACCAACAAGCAATACAATCTTACAGGGATCACAGACACCTGGTGGGACTCCACCTATGACTGGACCACAGGCATAGGGGGATACACCCTGTACAGGAGGGATTGTATTGGGAAGAAGGGTGGAGGAGTTGCTGTCTGTGTGAAGGAACATTACACCTCCCCTGAGGCGAAAATTGGATGCAATGAAGAGTGACTTGAGACCCTCTGGGTCATTATACGGGGAGAGTGTGGGGAAGGGGACTTGATCGTAGGAGTTTATTACAGACTTCCAAGCCAAAAGGAACAGCTCAACCAATAATTCTCTAGAGAACTGGCAGAGGCTGCATGCTCGCAGAGCATGGTCATCGTGGGTGACTTCAACTACCCAGACATCTTGTAGGATAAGCACTCAGTTAGATCCAGTTGCTCCCAAAGCTTCCTCACTTGCATTGAAGAGCTTTTTCTAACTCAGAAAGTTTATGAGTTGACTGGGGCAAGGCAATCCTAGACTTGGTTCTGGCCAAAAGGGACCATCTAGTGAGCAACCAGAGACAACAGGCCTGAAAACCGAAGGTCTCCAGGCCCACCCACCGGAGTCCAACCAGGGGTCCAGGGTGACTGCTGTTGTGAGGTGATACGGAGGCCAGAGAAGATACCTGTGGGGGCTGACTGCGAACTAGACTGGTGAGATGGGCCTCCAGAGGTGGCGCGTGGACAAGGTGTAGGGAAGGTTGGAGCCCCATGAACGCATGCCGAGATGCGTGATAACCCTGGAGGTAATGCCAAAGGGGACCCTCTCCACTGAAGAGTCATTCAAAGTTGTGGCAGGCAAGTTAGGGGGTTTCCCAGAAGACAACCGAGGTATCCTCTGGGGTCTGCACATGGGGCCTAGGTATACAAGATCAATTGTCCGGGTGAAGGTGGCACGGTAGCAGACAGTAGAGTGGAGACAGGCACAAGCAATCTTTCCTCAAGGAAGCAATCCTAAAAGCTCAAAGAACATCTGTTTCCTCTCACAAGAAAGGCAGCAAAAGAGCTAGGAGACCCCCTTATTTCAACAGGGGAGTCAGAGACCTCCTGA